CCACTATATAGATTATACCAGACCCTGATTTCTGTAAAGGGTATGTTGGAAAATGAAAGGTTAAGTATATTGCCTTTTGTGTAGGTAGGTGCTTTTTTCTCTCCAATATATTCTAGTTCAGCCAAATCTGCCTAGACTGCTAGCTTATTCCCTTTGTAAAGGTTTTCCGATTCAGGTTACCATGTTTCATATATAGTATTGAAATTGTCTTTAATGAAGTACCCTAAGGGTAATTATAATTCGATAATATATGATAACATCTGTTCTGTTTGTAATTATCGATACACATTCAATATAAGATACTTGTTTACATCTATCTAGAGTATATTACGACTTTGGATTAGCTGCCTTTATTAGATTCGCAATTTCGCTCCTTTTCTGATATACATTAATACTCAGAGTTGTTCTACTTCTCTTTGTTTGGGGGATATTTCTGTTTATGAGTCCATTGGTGTATATAGGGTCCATCCGGGGTGTGTTTTGGTTTTTGTGAATAGGAATGTAAAGGGTTCCTGCACATATAGAATATCTGATTCGTTTTCAAATACTATTTGTAATAAGATATTATAAACCTTTAGTATTCTGCCCACATTTGCTTAACAAATCGTTAGATTCTATATTCTGGGCTGTTAATGATTATATATATCATTTTGATATATCTGATATCTATTCATGTGCATTGGATTAGGGGTTTTCTCCTATTTCGATGTCCTATTGACCATTAGCTAGAATCTCCTTGTTAAGGTTTGTATTTATCGAGGATTTCCATTTCGATCGGTTTATTGCTACTATACCTCTCTTAAGCTGTGTTGTAATTGGATTATCCCCACTCTTTTTATAAACAGTGATCTGTTTTCTCTAGCATTTTAGTATTGGAATAGATATAGGTATAGATATAACTATATCTGGGATAAACCCTTTTTTAGAATCGTCCTTTATCTTCTGGTTAGCAAGTATTGCCATTTCCATTGTCAGAGCCGGTTTTCTTATAGCTTTGAATTGTGGTTTGGTAGATGTTATGACTTTACCATCTATTACCTTAGATATTACTAAACAGTTCTGATGTCCTATCGCAAAAGGTTCAAAGCAGTTAATATATTGTGCCTTTATTATACAATTGGGTCCTTGTAAACCTTTGTATATATCTTTTCGAATACTACAGTTTGTACAGCGGGTAAGCCTGGTACATTTTGTTGGATTACACCAGCCTTGGCAGTTGATGTTGTGTTAGGTGATAATAGGTTTTGCCTTAATCTCTTGTGCCAGTTCGCTGATATTAAAAAGCCTGAACCCATGGACTGATTCAAGAAAGGATATTACTCATATAATTGTGCCATTGTGGGGGTTGGCTCTGTGATGTGAAGGTCTATAGCTAACTAAGATTTAATCTGTTTATGCCTGTACCTCCGCTTCTATATAACTCGCTGTATTAGCTGAGAGTCTATTTAGTATATATATCGATATTAGGACTCTGGGGACTATGTAATTATACTACATTACTGATTAATGTATTTGTATATCTCAATTGATTCGAAGGATGATTTCCTTATTTTCCTGTATAAGGAGTAGTTCGTAAATTGCTAGATTCTTTGGTATAATAGTTTATTCTGTCTTAATAGCAAATATAATAAGGACATCCGCTAATATTAAATCTGTGATTGCTTCAACAAAAGTATTTTTTAGTATATATAGGGTTGGTTGACTGATCCAGGCTGCAGGGCTGATGACTATTAGTAGCCTGTGATCTGTGCTCCAGGCGGTTCGTGTCGTCTGTTGTTTGGTATATGAATTGTTAGATAGGGCCTTTGATAAAGCCTTTTGAGATATAGGTGGGTTTGCTCGGCCCGCCCTGTTTTGATTTGTTTTGAAGATCTTGAGGATCCCTATGTAGATTTTGGTGGTTTGTGTTTTCAAAGAAGTTGCACTTCTTGTTGCTGGTGGTGTATACAATGGGCTCGACAATAGATCGAATCCATCGTTGATGGAGAGTGTAAGGATTTCTATAACCCTAGTGCTTAGTTTCCTGACTGCAATTCATTCGTCTTCTATAACGAAGAAATCGACATATCTATCAATTGTATCTATCAGGCCAATTATAACCTTTCACTGAATTCTTTCAGTATATTTATATTCGGCAAGTTTGGTCTTAAAGACCTTTATTGTTAGGTTAGTAGTATTAGTGCTTGTTTTGTTTTTTAGTATAAAGATTGGTGATATCTTGTTGGTAAAGGTACACTGTCTTCTTTTTGAACAGTTTTTAAGATTAGAAGGTATCTCTGGGGTCTGCAGATTGATGAAATTCGCATTTTCCAGGTTGATAACCTTGGGCGGTACTATATAAGATACCATATTGGCTTGTGTAGAACAATATGTATTATATATATTGTTGTAATTCTGTAGATTTTGAATTCAGACCGAATTTCAACTTCTGGTAATCAGAAATTTTTCTTCGGAATATTGTGTTTGGATATGAAATCATAGGAAAGCTTTCGGTATAATTATATATTGTATAACAATCATCTAATTGTAGTATTATTGAAAGATAGTTATGGTCAAAGGGGGATAAAGTAGCAATTTGTTTAAATACTGAGGGTAGATATAACTTTGAAGGGGTAAAATATGACGATTGATCTAAACTACTGGAAGAGGGGGTATAAGTACCCTCTCTAGACTATCACGTGACTCTAATACTATTGATTCGTTTCCTCACAGTATTTAGATTTGATAATTATAATAAATGGAATAAAAATGGATAAGGACAAAGTTATCACAATTATTTCTTGGAAAAAACTATTATTAATGAAAAACCTTCAATGTTTCTTAGGATTCACTAACTTTTATCACCGATTTATTAAAGACTTTTCAAAAATTTGCTATCTACTAAATGATTTCTTGTATAAAGGAGTTGTTTGGGCATGGACTGATGAATACTAATGTGCCTTTGCAGACCTTAAACTTGTCTTTGTCACAGCTCCTATTTTAGCCTACTTCGATTATAATAGGAAATCGGTTTTAGAAATAGATATATCGAATTAGGTATCAGAAGGTATTCTCTTTTAATACAATAATGATAATATTCTTTGCTTTGTGATATACTTTTTTTTGAAATATTTACCTATTGAATACAATTACAAGATTTATAACAAGGAATTGTTAATTATAATTAAGTTATTAAGAAAATGATAATCAAAGCTCCAAGGAATCTAGTAAGAATTCGAAGTTTTAACAAATTATAAGAATCTAGAATACTTTATAATAATCAAAACTTTCAATTAATAACAAATCCATTGGTCAGAGTTCCTCTCTCAATATAATTTTCGTATTGTTTATCAACCAGAGTTTAAAGCAATA